TATCAAAATAACACCACCACGGCTCTCCGCTGCCATGATAGCTCCCTTAATAAATGTCCAAGATACTCTGAGTCGTGGGCAGAGAATAATTGAAAAAGAACCCCTAAGATTCACAGGACACAGGCCCATATACCCATTTCAGGTTCTTAGTAACCTTTGTCAGTATTTAAGAGACGCAGGAGGTGCGGATAGAAAGGCTATTGCAGCCAGAAACAAAAGGTTCAGACTAGCATTCGGAGACGATTGCGACGCTCTACTAGGTTATCTAGGATTCAAATCCGAGCTGAGGGCATCGTCTAATCCTCAGGTATGTATCTCCACCGACATAATACAAATTATGGTTCAGGATTCAGCTTACCAAATCCCCTCTACAATTCATTCGCATGACTAACTTTCGTTTCAGGAGGAATATGAAGGGTTTTGGACTTTGCCTGTCGTCAATGATGGGAATCGCGAATTCATAGACGATGTCAGGTTTGAGCTCAACCAGCTCATGCTTGATCGACCAGATATGGAGCTTAAGGAGCTCAAGTCTTCAAATGAAAAAGCATTCTCTCCCCCCTATGCTCTGGATGATATCAGACGATTACTTTCTTGCGATGACTATCCAAAGCGAGATGCTGTCCAAGTCGTAGATTCGTTGGAGCACCCTTATTATGCCAGTTTAGGCGCAATCGAGCTATTTACAGATGATTTGTTAGCCTGGAGCTATGATCGTCAATGTCAATGCGATCCGGTGAATAAGCCATACTATTTGGACTGCTTGCGGGAGCTCGGAAACGGACGTCGCAGTTCCGATCTACAAACGAAGGCTACGATGATCATGTCTACCGGAGAAGTCAGCCTAAAAGATATCGAAAAAGCTTACTCGTTCTTCGCGCTGCAGAGAAATACCACCAGATCTGAGGGCGATGACTTTATCATCGGTGTTTACAAGTCTCGTATCGAATCTGGACCGCGCCAAAAAGATGAGGCACGCGAATGTCTGCGCGTGATAGCAAAGGATAGGCAGAGCATTGCCATTGAAGCCGTAGCGAATGATAGCACAATGACATTTGAAGAAGCTCTCGAGTTCCTAAGCGTGACTTCAGATACTGCATCTGATAGCATTGAAGCTGCTGCCGTTGCTATGGTATGTGTATAGTCATGAATTGACGATTATTTAAAGATTTTCAACTAACTCCGAGGTAGTCTTTTGAGGGCGATAAGGATAAAGTCGCAAAAGCTTTAAGAGCGATTGCTAATAACCGGGGAGACGACTACACCTTGCAGCGTGCGGCTACGTCCATGGAGTCTGGAATTGAAGATTCAAACCTTGACGTTGGTGAAGCTTATAATCGGCTTCAAATCACCGATAGGGGGGCCCCAGATGATACTGTGCTGGCTTATTACGAAAGTCTCAGATCTGGTGCTCCTACTGGTTCATCTGACAGTTACAAGGAAGCATTCCGGGTAATAGCTCATGATCGTCAGAGCAGTTACTTATTGAGGAAACTTGATGATCCAAACGCCGACATTCAAGCAGAAAAGTCAACCGTTAATCAACCAATTGGTCTAGATAATATTGGCAATACATGCTATCTAAACAGTCTTTTGCAGTATTACTATACAGTAAAAGCTGTTCGAGAGGTAGCCATGAACTTTGAACAGATTCGCATGCCTCTGAATGAAGAGGATATCAAGAAGAAGCGTGTTGGAGGACGTGCTGTCAGTAAGGCGGAAATTATCAAAGCCCAGAAATGTGAGTGTCAAATTCCTTGGACAAATAGCTCGGCTAATTGTATTTAGTTGTGACGGAATTACACGACCTGTTCGAAAATTTGAAGACTGCTTCAACAAGATCCATCAAGCCTACTAGAGAGTTGGCCGAATTGACTATATTCAGCTCAGCAGCCGAAGCAAATTTCCGTCGAGTTTCTATTAGTAGTCCAAGTGGTCCATCAAATATTGCTTCCATGATGAGCCCTATGTTGGGGCCGGAAGGTCCTCCGACAACTACTTTTCCTCCTCCAACTTCAGCCGACGAGGATATTGAGATGGTTGACCGACCTGAAGATAAAGACTCAAATCAGCGTGATGATAGTAGTGAAGGTACATTGGTAGAGGCACCAGACATGGATGGTTTACCTCCGTATTCTGATGTTGTAGGTAGACCGAGTCCCGCAGCAGACAAGGCCTGGGACAAATCAGAGGATGCCGATAGTACCTTCGATGATGCTGTCATGGTCAATGGCGATTCAGTAGTTCAAACTCCAGATGTCATAACAGCCGCGCCAGACAAGCCGCCTCCGATTCCTCCGAGAAACAAAGCTGGCCTTTCTATAGAGACAAATGACCAGAAAGAAGTCATTACTGACGACGATCTATGGAAATTTGGATCTCAGCAAGATGTTACCGAGGTTATCGGAAACGTGATGTTTCGTTTACAGTGTGCCATAAAGCCGACAAGCATCGATCCTGTGTCTGGTGAGCAAATCGATAAAATCAGAGACACTTTTTATGGTGCAAATGCCTCTTATCTTCGAAAGTCGGAAAAGTTAGAGAAGAAAGTTGAACCATGGGCTAATCTCATTATTTTTCCGGATGAAAACAAATCTCGAGACATTTATGAAGCATTGGATGTGGTCTTCGACGAACAACAGGTACATATCGATGGTACTATTCAACCGCAATACGCATCCATCACCAAACTACCCCCAATCTTACAAGTACAAATCCAACGTACACGTTACGACAATATCAAGCATACTGCTTATAAAAATCGAAACGCGGTAATATTTCCAGAAACGATATATCTTGATAGATACATGGATTCCGAAGATCCTGACTCTACTTTGATGCGTCGTCGTCAAGAAGCATGGAAATGGAAAGCACGTATTAATACTTTGGAAGAGCGGCAAAGAGTCCTCGGCCAGGACAAAGGAACAGAAGAAATATCTGTTTGTGATGCACTATCTGCAGCACAGAACTTTACTAGAGGGCTGCAGGAGATGGATGACATCGAAGTTGACGCAAACTTGGTCACGTTGCTTGAAGAACGCCAAGCTGAATTGAACCAGGAAATTGAAAGAAACAACGAAGAAATCCAACTTCTCAAGCAAAGAAAAAATGAACAATTCACGAATATGACCAAGTACGAATATAAGCTTCAAACTGTATTTATTCATCGTGGTGAAGCTGGTGGTGGTCATTATTGGATCTACATCTACGATTTCGAGAATGATATTTGGAGAGAGTATAATGACGAATATGTGACGGAGGTGCGTGATCGTCGAAGAATCTTCGAACATGAAGCTGCTGGTGCAAGTGGCACTCCTTATTATCTCGGCTACGTACGAAGTTCGGATGTGATAGATTTGGTGGGGGCAGTGCATAGAGAATTGACAGAAATCGAAGTACCTACTTCTGCACCTGCAAAGTCGTGGGCAAATGGTTTAGAGGATGGCATTGAGGTGCATCATAAAGAGGACGTGGAAATGGGGGAATTAAACAACGCAGGGTTCATGAATCCGAAACATATGCATAAGATTATGCCGAAACAAGACGTAGGGGACAAGACGGGTGCCGCTTCGCAGCTATCCTATGATAGTCACGGAAATGCTTGGTAAATTTTTCAGAAATGTGGGCAGGGGATTGAATGGGCAGATGGATGGTTGAATTGGGGCTATGAGATAATGTCAGATAGCCTGGGAAAGGGAGCATGCATGGAAAATAGCAGAGGCAAATTTTTGATATTGGAAAATTTGCCTTTGGGTAGGTATGATATGATATGATATGATATGATTGATGAATGGATTGGGATGGGATGGAATAGCATGATATCCAATGCTTGCGTATGTATGCAGCTTGCTCGTTTATCCTTGATTTTTATGCATTGCATGCATGTAGATGCATCATGATGCTATCTACGTATGCTCTTTTTGATACATGTTCTGTTTGTATGAGCACGGCGCAACGAGCATTGCTTGATGTTATAGAGACAATAAGAATATGAATACAAAAAAAAATCGAATTGCAACATAGTTTTGAAATGAGACTGAATGGCGAAAATGAAGAACTAATGGAATCTTACATGTAAGCGAAACGAACGAATGGATGTCAGATGAACGGGATGGAGTGAGTGGCTCTAGTCTGTAGTCAGGGCTTAGAATTTCTCAAGTATTTTCTTTAATCTTTTCTCTCATTTCTTTCTTCTCTCCATCTTTATTATCTTCCTCATGTCGTATTTTGATACTTTACTCGGGAGAAGAGACATTATGTAGCTTTGGTATGTAAATCATGAAGATGTGTACCTGAGTGCTTCGTTCACAATCACGCCATTTCATACAACCATTTATGATATCAAGATATACATATATATAAGGAGCAAAGTTATTTATATTACGTGAACAGAAGTAGAAATCACGTTTACAATATGGGTACCTGGGTGTAGTGACGACTCTTCTTTTTCTCTCCATACCATAAGTCCTCTTCACTTCTTCCGCCTTTATTCTCCTCGCCGATCATCACTTCGTTTCGGTTATTTTGTTTGAAGACCCGCTGAATTATCTTTCACCTTTTCCCTCTCGTAATTGAAAGATGAATGTTTTCCTTGTCATTTTTAGGGACTCTTTTCAATTTTAGGGACTCTTTTTGAGTTTTGAGAACTCTGGTCTCCTCACTAGGAGAAAGAGATGTTTGAATAATTGAATATGGATTGGAGATGAAGATGTATACTCTTTGACATGAAGGAATCGCTTAAATCCCTCCCCTTTACCCCTGCCTCTCCTTCCCTTCTCTTCTCTCTAGATATATTTCAATTCTATTTCCACATCCATATTTATATCCATATCTACATTCCACTTTCAAGTTTCACATCCGCGCTTATTCAAAGGTACTGTATATCGAAAATTTTTATATTTTCTCTAGATATGTGTTGTATGATACAACATTATATGGTATGATGTATATACACAATACACAACACACGGCATACAAGTTCATATATAAGAATCTCCAAATCACTCTCTTCTCCCATCTGAGTCATCTCGATTCTTCTTTTTGTCTTCCTCTTCCTCTTCCTCTTCCTCTTCCTCTTCCTCTTCCTCTTCCTCTTCCTCTTCCTCTTCCTCTTCCTCTTCCTCTTCCTCTTCCTCTTCCTCTTCCTCTTCCTCTTCCTCTTCCTCTTCCTCTTCCTCTTCCTCTTCCTCTTCTTCTTCTTCTTGTTCTTCTTCTTGTTCTTGTTCTTGTTCTTGTTCTTTAATATGATATGATATGATATGATATGATATTCAAAAATGTTCTTTTCCGAATGTAATTATCTTCTTAATGTTATTGTGTACATGTGATATGCTATTGTGTTGTAGTATATCATTTGCCTTTTATTTCTCTTTCTATTCTTATGTTCTTACTCTATTTTTTTTGTTTTCGTATTTTGTCTCCCTCTCTCCTTTATCATCCATAATCAACCCTCTAACTTCACTTCAAAAGGAAGTCTTCTCCATTCTCCCATCTCCCTGACACATATATCACACCTCCATAAATCGCATTTCTTCTTTCTTCCCTCCTCCCTCCTCCTGCTCCTTTTTCTTCCTCTGCCGTCTCCTCTCTTCTCTCTCCTCATATAGAAATGCAAACATATTGCCTACTCCCCACACCCACCATCTCACACTCATCATCCTACCACCTCATTATCCCACCATTCCATCCCACTCCATCCATCCCATAAAATATCAAATATCAACCAGCCCATCAACTAGCCCATCAACCAATCCTCCTAACCAATCAAAAACATCCAACCACTTACATCAATATACCTATATACCCATACAAGAAGATTCAATCAACAACCACGCCAGAAACCTGCTCTAAACGACTGCTCTAAACAACTGCTCCACGCAAATTGCAAAAAATACCCAGGTACTTCTACTAACTACTAATATAGACGACAACCACTCCGAACACACTCCCGGTGACTACTTAACACCAATAGGTACCTACTTCAACTAAACACAGCTAGATATTATAAATAATAACTACCTACTCCACAACAATTACACCAGATGACTATTCCAGACAACAATTAGATACCCTATCATTTACTCATACATTCATTCCACTATCCAGTCATCCCATCAAATTTCCAATTTCCACATAGCTATTCAACTCCAAAATACAAGTATAATTTCTCAAATACTAGGTATTCGAAACATCATTGTCTACTCCCAACAACAACTACTCGCATCTTTAATCCGATACTCAACGACATAATGACCGCAGACAACAACTGTTTTCGATAACGACTCAACAACTCAACGATACAACGATACAACGATACAACGATACAACGATACAACGATACAACGATACAACGATACAACGATACAACGATACAACGATACAACGATACAACGATACAACGATACAACGATACAACGATACAACGATACAACGATTCTAAACAGGCAATTACTGAGGGATAATCATTTAACCATAATCACTCCAAACAACTACTCCAAACAACTCCTTCAAACAACTCCTCCAAACAACTCCTCCAAACAAACTATCAAGACCATGCAGACCTCTAAATCCCTACCTCCCCACCTCCCTATCTACTTCCCTATTTATTATAACAAAATACATTATACATTATTCAAGCTCCAAATCCAAACTTCCAAATCCAAGCTTCAAACTTCAAACTTCAAAATCCAAGCTTTCAAACTTCAAATTCCAAATTCCAAACTTTCAAATTCCAAGCTTCCAAATTCCAAACTTCAAAATCCAAGCTTTCAAACTTCAAATTCCAAATTCCAAACTTTCAAATTCCAAACTTCCAAATCCAAGCTTTCAAATCCAAACTTTCAAGCTCCAAACTTTCAAATTCAATTCCAAACTTCCAAATCCAAATCCAAACTTCCAAATCCAAACTTCCAAATCCAAACTTCCAAATCCAAACTTCCAAATCCAAACTTCCAAATCCAAGCTTCCAAATTCCAAACTTCCAAATCCAAACTTCCAAATCCAAACTTCCAAATCCAAGCTTCCAAAATCCAAACTTCCAAATCCAAACTTCCAAATCCAAACTTCCAAATCCAAACTTCCAAATCCAAACTTTCAAATTCCAAACTTCCAAATCCAAATCCAAGCCTCTAAATCCAAGCTTCAAACATCAAAACACAAGAAAAAAACAAGAATCAAGAACCAAGAACCAAGTTTCACCATACAAGACACAAAACACATCAATCAAACTTACAAAACATAACATAAATTTCAATTTCATATACATAGAGTAAATATACAGACACATATACACATATATATAATAAAATAAAGCTCTCCAGGACTACCCGTACAAGTACAGCTCGAAAATAAAATCAACCCCAAAATCAAATTCAAATTCAAGACCTAAAACCCATTCACTAGTCAAACGAATTAATCATCCTGATATAAAATATAATAATATGATAATATAATAATTTAATAATACAATATTAAAATATGGTGAAAAAAAAAGGTGTATACATGTGTACTATAAAAATAAAGATAAAGATAATAATAGAAACAAAAATATAAACTCGAAGAAACTCAGGAATCAATGTCATAGGTAGTCATCGTCATATCCACATTCATGAACCCGACCAACCGATCAACCGATCAATTCGATTACCCCCCCTTCTTCCCCTCTCCCCTCCCCTCCCCCGACCCAGTCTATACCGACTGACCAACAAGTAATAAGTAAATTATCCCCAACTCCGTGTATCATGGGTATATATGTATATGATAATTTTGAACACCTCGCTCCTGTGGTGAACAAACCCCTTTAATCCGTGTATTCCCATTTTTTCGCCATAATCGTGTACATTTCCCATGATAATAATAATAATATAAACACCCAAACCAAGCAACCAAGCAAGCAATACCGTCATGCCATGCCGTGCCGTGCTATGCCTCCCCTCCCAAATTCAAATATCGACAAAAACACCTTCCATTCATTAAATAATTACATCATCTCACATACAACCCCAATCCTCTCAAGTCGATATACAAATTTAACGTCCGCCGCCGTTGAAATCGATCAAGTCGGCGAAAAACTTTTCATCCGTGCTCGGTTGCGCAAACTGATTATACGAGTGATTCTCAACTGCGTTGGTTGGCGCTGCTTGACTTGGAAGGAAATGAGACGCATAAGACATGTCGAGCGTTGGTCTTTCCTGATTCCACTGCGTGGGAAATTGATTCGTCTGCTGAGGAGGCATTTGACTTGCCTGAGGAAGCGCTTGATTTTTGGCATACCAATCCAGGGGGCTCTGATGTACTTGATTCATGTGAGTTTGGGGCTCTGGGCTTCGAAGTCCAGAATTTTGATGCATTGGATCCATCTGAGTTTGTGGTCCTCCGTTTTGAATCATCGATTCGTGTTCAAAAGGTGTACCAGGTGTGATGTTTCCGGGAGTGCTGGAACTTCGGCCCATGAATTGAGATCCGGGATTGCGATTGTAGCCAGGCATGTCGTACAATGTTGGATCTTGTCCAAAGCTTGTGTGTCGCCTTCTGGGCTGTCGTTCCATCTGTGGAGCAGCCATATTTGACTCATTATTTAACATTGGTGACGATGCCATCATTGGGCCCTCTAATGGTGATGATAGACTTTGGTCTTGTGGTGGCGTTGGCATAGTTGGGCCATAACTAGTTTTTCGACTCAACGTTCCTGGGGGTGTTGGTATGTCTTGAGGCATTCTCCCGGGCTGATTGGCATTTTGTGATGCTAATTGATGGTTGACTTGTACGAATAGTGACAACTCCATTGCCATTTGAGGCTCAACCTGCTCGACCTGCTCCGTGGGACGAAGGCCTTGGGCACCTTCAATCAAAGCTAGAATGTTGTTTGCGATTGCCGGATTGTCGCGTAAATGTTGCATGAGCTCAGTTTGGGTGATGGGAACTGGGACTGGATTATACATGGGATTCCAATGACGTCTCTGAAAGACTCGCATTGGACTTTCTTCCTCCTCACCCAAATTTCCAGACATGACAATGTCCTCTGAAAGTTTGAGTCCGCGACCGGTTCTCTCTCGGTGTAGATTTGAAGCCTCTCTAGCGGACTTCATTCGACCCTTGACATCTGGACGGTCATTTCTATTGGCGGCAGCAATAAATGCACGCTCTTTGTGAGACATCTTTTCCAAATTGGTCTTGGGGGTCTTGGGAGCATGTTAGCTAATGTGACAATTTCGCCAGAGGATGAGCGGACGAGGATGAGTGTGCATACTTTGTTGGAATAGGACTTCTCGACCTTTCCGGGCTTCATCTTCTTATCTTTAGTCATCTTGGCTAATTGTGATGGGGCGTCTATGTTGTTCTATAGAATACAGAAATCTGGGATCGAGAATATTTGGTGCTTCCTCGTGTCGAATTGGGTGGGAGTAATCGAGATGGTGGATGAGATACTGGTAATGAACAAGTGATATGTATAGAGGAGGAATTGATTGAGTCGGTTCGTCTTTCCTTTTAGAAAATGTTCGATTTTAAGGTTGACTTGACTAAGATTCCCAGATCGATTGTGAAGTCGATTATCAGGTCGATTTCGAGGACGATTGCGGATACCGGGATGAGGGGGTCGTAGATCGGTAAGCGAACCTTGTTGAAAGCGTGGGAGGAATAAGCTCGATAAAGATGATGGATGGATGGAGTGTGATATTCCAGATGACAATCGATGTTAAAAAGAAAGGAATTGATTGTTCTTCTGATTTTGAAATGAAATAAAAAGAAGAGATGAGCGATGATGCGATGTAGTTTTTAATTCTTCAAGCGAATATGGGTTGTACACCAATCTTTTGTAGTTTGTAGAAGAGAAGTACCGGTCGAGTAGCTCGAGTAGGTGGATAGAATAAAGTAGAGTAGCGTCGAGAGAGGTTAGACGATCGATCTAGAGTTGAAGTGGGTGTAGTGGGGTGAAGACGTGAATGAAGTGGATTAAAGCCGTGTAGATAGTAAGAATTAGGTATCATATACAGTAAGAGTAACGAATGTTACTCTGTTTTTAAATAAATAAATAATTAAATAAATAAAAAGGAAAAAGGAAAAAGGGTTAATTCGTGTGGAATTGTGTGAAGGAATGTACAATGGTGGTAGGTAAGGCAGGGAGGTATGGGTGTGAGTGTGGATAACGATATGGATATGGATACGGATGTGGATATGGATACGGATCTGAATAAGAATAAGAATAAGAATATGGGGAAAGGTTTGGAATGAGCAAGTTGAGAAAGGATTATAAATGATTCCAAGCTCCGATGTACATCTGAGGGGGGGAAAGGGTGATTAAATACTGGGTAATGAAAGATGGTAAGGTTGAGGGTTAGTAGAAGTATGTAGAAGGAGGGTAAGAGGAGGTGAGAGAGGTGAGAGAGGTGAGAAGAGGTAAGAGGAGGTGAGGATAGTCAGGAGGGAGTAAGAATAGAGAGAAAGTAGGGAAAAAGTAGGGAAAAAGTAGGCGAAGAGGGGGGAAGAGGAGGGAAGAGGAGGGAAAAGTAGGTCAGAGTAGGTCAGAGTAGGTCAGAGTAGGTCAGAGTAGGTCAGAGTAAAGGAAGAGCAAGGAAGAGTCGAGTAGAAATCGATCAAAAAGCAGGTGAAGAATAGAGAAACACAAGGGAAAAACCAAGTATCTAGGTAAGCAATTCAGATGGGACTTTAAACTTTTCGATAATCAAGTCTACCGTATTCTTTCAGAATTCGATGCAGTCGATCTAAACCCAACGAGGCCTTAACCTTCGGCATCATAGGCCATGGATCAATGAGATCCGGTTTCTTTGCGTCCTAGCCAGATGTACTGGTGAATCATCACGGTGCGATTTAAGCCTGTGATGGTCAAGATCTGCTGGGGCTAGCAGGACTAGCAGGGCTAGGGAGCCATCGGGATATCGAGCATCTGGTCGAGTCTCTTTCAAGTTTCGGAGCTCGAGGGAAGAGACACAGAGGTTATCAGGTTTCATTTGCATTTGCATTTGCATTTGCATTTGCTCTTTGCTGTTGCTCTTTTGCTGTTGGCCTGACTGGGTTGAGTGTGTATGGACCAGAGGGTTAATTGATCAAATTCTTATTTAGATAAGGTTACCTATGCAGACATCTCCCTCCATGTCGATTTACGAGATCTAGTGTCTACCCACGTAAGCTGCGTAGAACAAATGGAAGGAAGAAAAGAGCGATGGAGAAAAGATTTCGATGATCGGGAACAATTACCTACTGACAATTACCTACTGACAATTACCTACTGACAATTACCTACTGACAATTACCTACTGACAATTGCCTACTGACAATTACCTACTTACCTAGATATTACGGTATTACGGTATAATGGTATTACGGTATAATGGTATTACGGTATAATGGTATTACGGTATAATGGTATTACGGTATTACGGCATTACGGCATGCCTTGCGCAAATTTGTGGTAATTAAAAACATCATAATTAAAATCCCCCTCGTGAATTATCGCATGTAAGTTGTAACTTGTAACATGGCATACTAGTAGGTATGTCATCTCAAAAATTCGAATACGAATAAGAGAAAAGTGAGCAGGAAAAGCATCCAAATATTATTCATCAGTGATCACCTATGCATTTACGATATCGTACCGAGAGAGAAGACAGAAAAGGTGAGTAATAGTAAGAATCACGCAGATCTCGGTCCCTCTCACTCCTCCCGGAGAGATCGAAGAGAGGGGTCCCTCCCACCCTCTCATTGGTCCATCTCCCCATTCCCTTCTTCTATCCAGATTGCCGAGTTCCCCATACGGCTGGCCCTCGAAATACCACGGCTGGATATTCTCCATCCCGACCCTTCCCTCTCTCCTCATTGGCGCAATCCTCAACGCCCAAAACTTCAGATCGGTGCCAGGGTTCCAGACCTCGACTATCACATCGGTACTCGGTCTCGTCGCTATCACAATATGACGACAGGGCTACCGAATATGAAGTATCGACCCAGCGACTTCTATCGTACCTAGGTGACCTACCTACTTCTGCTTCTGTTATCGGGGAGGCGGATAACCGTTTTCTTGGTAAGCCCTGTTATAAAGCATCCATCCAAATGCAGTCCAAAAATGAATGTCACTTTGTGATGGATTGTAATTTGTAAAACCCCCCGGCCCATGTACCTTTTAATCCTCCGTGCCAACCAGGGCTGAGCTTGCTCCATGTCCTTTCCTTTCCTTTCCTTTCCTTTAACCTTACCTACCACTTCTTCCCCGTTTCCACACCCACAATCGTGAATCACATGATTCGTATTCGTGTTTGATCTTTCCCCACGTGTCTTTCTTTTGGACGTCTTTTTCCTCTTTCTTTCAAGTTTCCACCTCTCCCTCCCATGGATGTTCTTGTTGAGACAAGAGCCCTCCCAAATCTTCCTGCCATCGCCCGCATCGTGGCTGTACCAAACTTACCACTCCATTCCGCCTAGGTTCTACCTCGATCCGTATTAGTGGTCTGATATGGAGAGTTCATGATCAATCAGCACACACAACCGGACTTATTCAAACCCCGCGACGGGGTTCCTAAACAAAGTACCTAGGCTAGGTAGGTAGCTACTAGGGAGGGAGGAGGTAGGTACCTACCTAGGTATCGACTTTATTATTGCTCCGAGGAACGTACGATGGAAGCCGTGATATATCACACATGCCAGCATCGAAATTTCTCATTTTTCTCAACTCGCGATCTTCATGCCCCTGGGTCACACATAACTTGATCTGAGAAATGCATACAGACTACGAATAGCTACCTACCTACCTCCCTAGTTGCATTCCCCACGTTCGATGTCGCAAACACTTGCACATTATTGTTTGATCGGGCTTAACTCATTCATCGATTACATACACACCCACGCCCACCCACGTACACGCACATACATAGCATCCACAGGTATCATCTTTATTACTTTCTACGGAATAACCCATGAAATTAAGCTTAATCAATCGCATCGCTTTCATTAACCGACTGTCTCAGCTCGGGTCGTCTCTCTAAAAGACGTCAACGTTGACGTAGCAACTCAAGCCTCATTGTCAAGACTCAATAGTATCTTTGTTAGATCGCGCCTCTTTCCCCTTTTCACTACCCATACCGTCTGTGAACCTTACCGGATCACTGGGTCAATCATTGAAACCATTAACTAGTTAGCTTGGCTTATTAATGCACTTCTCTTCCAAATACTATGATTATCCACCCTAGCATTCATCGTGTGTCTCTTCGTCTTGTCTCTCTCTCTCTCCCTCCCTCCTCTCTCTCTTCGAAATGAACTTGATCATGAACATGATCATATCCAATTATACTCCCATGTAACGAACAACTGCTATCTGTGCATTTGGCCAAAATAGATCCGAGTTTTGGTATTCAAATCAATACATTCCTCCAAAGCTAAGTTTAAAAACTTCAGAACACACCCTGACGCCCACTGCCCATCCATGCATGGGTCACCTCCAATTTCCCCCAATAACTTTCCACACGCTTTTAAAATAGCTCTAGCTGTGATTCAGAAGAGGCATTGGTCCATATCAAAGCTTCTCTCACCATCAGAAACATCTCGCTTTCCCGTCTCCTTATCCGCTCCCCCGCCAAACCAATTATTTACTACCTAGGTACTCAAATGTCCTGCCCCGTTACAGAAAGTCGATTTCATAATCCTATCATGATTCAAAAGCCGTCTTCGGGGCATCGGTTAACGGAACGTATCTCACCCCATATAACTTTTCCCTCGATACCTTCCCCTCTTCATCTTTGTCCACGACCCAGATATGTTGACCGCCGAATCCTCTCCGAGAATCTTCAACTGGTATGAACATTCTACAGTGCGATTAGTTTCATTATACAAAGATCTACAAAGGAGAATCAACATCGACATGTCGAACTTACCGACCAGGACTTCTCAACTGCTCAATCAATGCCTCATGAATCTCTGTCGCCGCGGCTCCAACATGTATGGCGTCCCACCCCTCCTCCCCATCCGGATCTTTCCATCCCTCTCTCCCATCCCCAACCACAAATTCTACATTCTTCTCCGCTAGCCATTTTCTTCCTCTCTCACTTTTCATCACATTGGTCTCGCCCATATCCCGCAATGCTCTTATATGTTCCAATCCCACCACTTTCCACTTTTCCCCTTCAGCTTCAGCCCCTGCTCGATTTCGACATGAGGAATGTGAGTATGATGAGGGAAGTACAAGTTCGGCCATAACGGCCGTTAGGTATCCACTTCCACTTCCTACGTCCAAAACTCTCTTTCCCTCTCCAAGATATGGGAGTAAATATTCGAGAGCAGAGGCGTGCATATGGGGAGCGGATATAGTGGCTTCATGACCAATGGATTGTGGAGAATCTTCGTAGGCCAGGTACGCAGAGGGCGTGTAGTGCGCGCGATCTACCTTGAGAGATTGGATTAGCTTTCATCCCCAAGGCCCTTTGAAAAAGTTCAAAGGGAAATCGGAGGAGTCGAAGACAATGTAAGCAGGGGAATCAAAACCAAACATACAGAAATCATAGCCTCTCTAATCTTCTCACTATGGATCAAACCCGAATTCCACATATTATTTATCAACTCCGTATTAGTACGACCCGAACATGTCCACGCCATCTTGTTATTGGATGTTATTCCTCGTCTCGCTTGCGTACCATGTGTGTGCACAAAGCGCTGAAAATATGGGCGGAGGTGCAAAGGTGACAGTGTGAAGTTTGTTGGAAGTGCTAGAGAGAGCGCTGTGTTTGGAGGGGGTTCCTTCACGAATATAATGACCAGGAAGAGGATTACTAGTTGTTGGATGTTGAGCCAGGATATCTGCATGCGCTGGTATTTTTTCTTCTCTTGAAATTTACTAGTAGCTAGGAAGTTTCGATCCTATATTTGAGGAGGACCACCAACTCGGTTCAAAATGAGATGATGAGGAGGGGTAGCTCGTTTGATTCCTACTCCTTTTCCGAGCGGCTTCGCTTTGTTTACTAATGAGTAAACACAAAATATAACTAACATCCAGATGTTTATCTATTCACCGATCCGAGCGAAGCGTTTTAGAGAGCAGTATGTGGAGTTTGAGTTGATGTTAATATAATATCGAGTTGAAAGGAACCATCAAGTGAAGTGAAGCTTGAGCTTTGATAAAAAGTGAAGTGCGGGGTTGGAGATGGTGGGGTGACGTAGCATTGTTAGGGGTGGCGAATAGGGAAAGGTTGATAATAGGATGGAGATGGAAATGGAATGAAAGAACTTTGGAAGTTCTAAAATTATGTGAGAATGAGAATATAGAGATGAGGCAAGAGCCTGGAATTAAAATAAGGCTTAATTTCTCCAAAAGAAAACAATTGTGTGTATTGGGGTGATAGATCAAGAAGTGACTGCCTCTATAAGGTTATGTCAGACGAAAGCGCGGCGACGATAGAATGGTATATATGACAGCGCTACAAAGCTGATCGAAAGGAATGAACGGGAGCTATTCTTTTCCAATACCACCTTTACACTTGCTTTCCATTCGAAATCTGATTCTCAATAAGAATCAAATTAAAGTCTAGTCAAGGGATGACCTTCTCGGGCATGCATGGCCACCACGAGAGAGAAGTTCTTTGTCTTCTTCAGGATCATTTGATTATAAGCTTAAAACTGTGCTGAAAGTTCTACACCCTCTTTGTTTATATCTCCATTTTCTACCTCCATTTATTCCAATACCCACCATCCTCAAACCCAGCATGCCTCAAAACCCATCCAGCTTCCCCCAATTCTGGGTTTTCTGGGACCTCCCCATAGAAATCCGTCTCAAAATATGGACTCATCTCATTCCACCCCCTCGAATCGTCCAACTAGCCACCCTCCCAAACCGAGACAACGCGCCCCTCGTCTCCCTCACCAAACCACCCATCCTCTTCTCCATCAACCACGAAACGCGCACTCTCGCCCTCTCAACCTACAGCTTCCTTCCCATCCCGCACATGCGCATCCCCGTCTCCAGAACCAAAGATACCGTCTACATAACCGTGGCGCAGGTCCGCTCTCATCGTGAATCTCAGGATGACAATCACATTGCCGCTGTTCTGTCTCTTGTTTCCTATTTTCCCATCACCTCTTTGGGTTTCACGGCGGTGTGTTGGGGTAGGATGTGCGAATTGCATAATCTTATTTCGATTCTAGCAGGTATGCCCCATTTGCGAGAGGTATTGAAGGTTATTGAGTATGGAAGGGACTTTAAGGGCGAGTTGGGGCTTCTGGATATACCAGAATGGAGGCAGGACTGGAGAATGATGGCGAGCCAGATAGAGGCGGACATTAGAGAACAGAGGAATAAGTTGATTATCGCAGGAAGCAAGATGGGAGACGTGAAGATGAGATATGTGTATTTGACAAAAGGGGATGAGATGACTTGAGTGGACTTTCAAAGTCTTTTGATCTTCGAATCATTCAATGTTAAGTTTACTTCTTGAGAGGTATACATCAGATCCACGAAATACTTAATAGTAACGAGACACAACGTTCACTTGAAATTTCTACCGTGCTTGGAAAGACAAGAGATGAAATGAAATGGCTCTTGTAAGTTAGTTTGCACTTATATCAGACGCGAAGTACAATGCATGCACAGTGCGTTAAGGAGGGTAAATTTGAAAGGGATTCTAAAGCATCTTTTTGATTTCCCGTCATTTTTCTCCCTCAATTAGATGCTAGCGAGTCCTAGCAGCATACTCGTGAACAATGCAATGCTCCACTATTTCCTACAATGTATTTTCCAAGACCGTATGTTATATACTCTTCTTCTGAAGCCACACGGCAATAAACCCACAACGCCATCCCAATGCATAACCGCCCAAATCTAACTCAGTAGATTAAAAGTTGAACAAGCACCATTCCCTCTTGGGTGGCATCATAGGCATAACACCACCTGGAAAAGCTCCTGTTCGTCTGGCCTGTAGATATGCAGCTGTTGTCGGCTCATCAAAAGCCACGTTTTCAATTTCGGTAGTTTTGTTTGGCCCTGCATACCCCTTTGCGCACCATATCTTGTGCCACTTACCATTTACGGATGTCCCTGGCTCTCCGTCCTGATACACGACTGGGAGTCCATTGAAAGACTCTAACTTGTCACCCCGAGTCCTTATGTAACTTTCAGCTGGAGGATGCGGTACTATGTTATCATTTGGTGGTGGTCGAAAATTTGGACTGAAAGTGTTCATATTGGAGCCAAGTCTCGCAGGGGGAGCGCCAGAGATCATATTTAGATTACTAGCACCTTGCTGATTACCAAACTGCTGTGTTTGTGTAGCAGGAGTTGTAAATTGGTTCTGCATCGCATTCATAGATTGAGAACTTGGAGCTCCAAAGGGGTTATTTGGTGCTGGAGAAGGAGCACCGAATGCTTGGGTAGTTCCGGAATTTGAGCCAAATGGATTTGGTGGAGTAGGCTGACTAAAAGAGTTAACGGGCGCTAATGGGTTGTTGTTTTGCGTTATCAGATTGACTTGCGATTGCTGGATCCCAGGAAGAAGAGGATTGGAACCAAAAGCACCTCCCACGGGGTTTACCAGGGGATTTGAATTTGGTTGAGCAAAAGCATTACTTGTACCGCCGAAATTGGAGAAGCCTGCCTGTCCAGAATTCATGGCACCATTCGAGGGTGCACCGAACGGACTTGGTGTCTGTCCCAGAACTGAAGGGTTTCCAAAAGCCCCAGCCCTTTGCTCTAGTTGTGAAGGCTGTCCAAACGTACTACCAAAGGCACTTGGCTTTTGGCCCAAAGCGGACGGCTGACCAAAACCACCAGATGCCCCAACTTGCGATGCAACTCCAAAGCCTTGAGAAGGCCCACCAAACGCACCTGGGTTCTGACTTGAAGGCTGTCCAAAGGCTGAGCCATTTTGAGCAGACGGTTGCCCAAATGCTGATGTAGTCGTTTGACTGGCTGCACCAAAAGCATTGTTTACAGGAGGATGGTCGCTCCTCTGGACCCATGGTGTTTGGTCTGGGGAGGTGCCCTGTTGACAAATATCATTCCGATTTGGATGCTTACTGTCGGAGGCGACAATGTAATTTATGGCGCCATCTATATCATTCAGCGCAGTCTGAATTTGCTGATCTGCTTCTTGCCATAGCCTCTCTGCATCTTGTATCTAGAAAATATTAGCCTCCAATAGTTCATAGCCCCAGGATGATTCACATACGGCTGGTTGAGCATTGCCAGAAGCTACCGCAATGTAATGAAGAAGGCGCATTTCCTCAAAACTTTGTTCCCGCGCTGGTCCACCGAACAACTGCTCTGGCGCATGGCGCCCAGGTCCGTATGCCGAAAGAATCCATTGAGGTCTGTCGGTCGTGAGGTCTTGCTTTATAGTCGCTTTATCGAGACTGAAAGGTATATGCGCCTCAGATCCTTTACAACGCCGTAAGCCACCGTATATACTTATGTATGCTCAAAATACTCACCTCCTCGTTGTGTATTGAAATTTTTGGAGTTGGATTGGTTGGAAGGTTGATTTTGAAGAGGCGCATATCGATTGTTGAAGCCGTTCCTATTGGAGTTGGCATTTTGATCGGAGTGTTCGAATCTGCAATCAGCTTTCAATAGTTAGCACACCTTCGTCCTTAAATTTGAGAAATAGCCATACCTCCGTTTCTGCAATTCCCCTGCTGCCAAAATCTACACACGGCCATTGTTTAATCTGCCTGGAGAATCAAGATGGTAGTTAGGGAATTCTTGGTTGGATGGCCAGAGCCTAAACGGCTACACTTATAAGATATTCATTCGAGATTCGCGGGGGTTGAGAAAATTCATATTCATAAAAGTGTGTATACGGCTTTGTTTGATTGATGCGAATGAATTTTTGAGGATGTTGGTCGGAACGCGGTCTGGTAGCTAAACGCGTCGGTACGGTTAATTTGAAAATTGATTGTCACAAGTGGAATGAGTAAAAATCTACATCAAAACAAAATAATTACATATTCAGCAAATCAGAGCCTATCGCAAATCCCCAGTTAACTCCATAACGCTATGTTGGTATCTTTGAAATGTAGATGTACATGCTTCGCCCTTCCCTTTCATACGTCAATTCTTGGCCCAAGTCCTTCTTTCACAGCTGCAGACAGGCGTTCCCAATCCAATCCACCAATTGATCTGCTACCAATGCCTTTGAGTGATAAAGTTTCCGAAAATTTCCCAGTGCCAATTCGTCGCATCATTATCGTATCCCGAGCCTTTCTTATTGCTCTTCCTTCTCCGCGAAGTAAGTAGTCCTCGAACCAAGCTTCTTCTTCTGGTGACAATGGTAGATTGACCAGCTCGACACTGCGATCTGCGATAGTTTCTGGAGGAGAGTTTTTTAAGACGGCCACGATCAATTGTTCGAACATGTGTCGTTGCATGTATTGCGACTGTCCTCGCGAGAAGTAGAAGGCTTCTGTGACACTTGTTCTTGCGATGGCAGAAAACAAACTCTCTGTTGCTCGAGATGAAGTCAAGGCTGGCTGTACAGTATGATAGTATGCTAATGGAATTGCGAGATCGTCTGAGGAATGTAACACGAGGGCTTCCAGAATTTCATCCGCAAAGCTTGGTATCAAAGATGGATGGGTCAGATATTGAAGAGCCAACTAGCAATGATCAGTTCATGTTAAGCGTCTACGGATCTTAGAGACAGAGAATCACGAACCTCAAAATCAAGGTTATCCAGATGCCAAAGACCTTTCATGTAGATTTGGTAGCTTTGAGGTAAAAACGACTTTTGCTCAAATGTAGTGGAGTAGTCTCTTCGTCCGGTTGGGGCGTCAAAGTCGAGCAGTATATAATACAGAGCTGATAGTTTATGATGATCTTGGCCCGCTGAGTCAATGATGACTTTGTGTAGATTTCGAAGGTCACTATTTGATTTCGGTGGATAATATTTAACGGCTTGCGCACAAGTTAGTAAGAGATATGTTGCCGCAACGATTTGTAGGAGCTCACGTCGACGAATTTCAAAATTCTTCAGTAAAGTGTCCATGAATAAACCTTCAAGCTTCTTACGATTGCTCTCGATTTTTCGCAGAGCGATTTCATCATATGAGCAGCCTGGATCAAAGTCGAAGACTTCGTCGAAATTCTGAAAGGTAAACATTCTGTATCGCCGTATTATTTCTGTACCGTTGTTTATGTTTAAGGAGTTCTTTTGCAATTGTTGCGACGATAGTATTGATAGTAGATAAGAACCTTATCTTAGCGTTGTTTGACTGTTTTGAAGTAAACAATGACCCTCCGCAATATGCAAACAAGAAAAACAACAAACTTCAACAACACAACACATTTAACACCCTATTTATTATTGATTGAATATAGGACGCGTTGCTAACAGGTACCTTACTCTCTGTGACATTTTGGTACTCATTATGCATTACTGATTTAATATAGCTCCTTAATCCACAGCAATAACCAATTTTTTCCCCGCGAGTGAAAAAAACAACACATTTGCTGGACCTCATCATGTCAGAATCCCCAGTGCGGTCCTCGAGAAGGGTCGCTTCTCGCCGGAAAGTGGTAGTAGAATCATCAGATGAGGATGAAAGCATGGAAGTAAAAGTCGAAGAGGAAGATGACGAGGAAGAGTTCACCCCCGCACCGAAGCGTAGTACCCGGACAGCCCCCCAGTCAAGGAGGAAGACGGCGAATTCAATGGCAGCTACACCTCGCGCAGGCGGTCGAGCAAAGAAGAGCTTAGGAGCAGAGAATGCTGAACCTTCGGAAATCTTCGATCCTGACCAGACAGCAACCCCAGCGCCTGAGTCACCTACAAAAAAGGCAGCCCCACGGAAAAGAAAGAGTGTACTACCTACCAGAAGTGCACGCAGCTCAGTGGCACCTGAGTCAAATCCTACTCTACCAACACCAAATACCTCGCAGTCTCCTGAACCATCCGAAATACATAATAGCACAATTCTTGCAGATATCACGGAGAGGCCTGGGACATCGGACAGTCAAGCGTCGGCTGTCAAACCCATTCGAGCAATGGATACAATCATGGAAAAGCCCATGGATATTGTGCTGAAATCAAGGACTGCGGCAGCAGCTCCAGTGGTCGAGGATACTGGTCCAAAATCTCGAATAGTTATCACTTACCTGATTCTTACGAACTTCAAGAGTTATGCTGGTCGTCAGGAGGTTGGCCCATTTCACTCTTCTTTTTCTTCTGTCGTTGGTCCCAACGGCTCCGGAAAATCTAACGTCATTGATTCTCTTCTTTTTGTGTTCGGCTTCAGAGCTAGCAAAATGAGACAGGGCAAAATTTCCGCATTGATTCACAATTCAGCAGCTTTTCCGGACTTGGATCATTGTGAAGTTGCTGTACATTTCCAAGAAGTGATGGATCAGCCAGATGGCACCCACCAAATTGTTCCCAATTCTGATTTGGTCATATCTCGAAGGGCGTTCAAAAATAACGCAAGTAAATATTATATCAACGGAAAAGAGTCAAATTTCACCATTGTCACGACACTCCTTCGTGATAGGGGCGTCGATTTAGATCATAAGAGATTTTTGATCCTTCAAGGTGAAGTCGAGTCAATTGCACAAATGAAGCCAAAAGCTGCAAATGAGCATGATGACGGTCTTCTGGAGTATCTGGAGGATATCATTGGCACATCCAAATATAAGACCCCCATCGAAGAATCTGCTACCGAAGTAGAGACTCTAAACGAAGTGTGTGTTGAGAAGAGTGGGCGGGTTCAGCATGTTGAAAAGGAAAAAAATGCACTTGAAGATAAGAAAGATAAGGCTCTTGCTTATATCAGGGACGAAAATGAGTTGTCCATGAAGCAATCAGCATTGTATCAAGTTTATATCAATGAGTGCGGTGATAATCTAGCCGTCACGGAAGAGGCTATTGGCCAAATGCAGACACAGCTAGACGCGGAAATGGAAAAACATCAGGGCAACGAAGCAGGTATTAAGCAGCTTGAAAAGGAGTACAAAAAAGGTCAAAAGGAGTATGAATCGGTCGAAAAGTACACGCAAGCAATTCTCAAGGAAATGGCAAACCTCGATCAAGAGCGAGTAAAGCTTGAAGAAAAGAAGAAATTCTTGACAACGAAACAGAAGAAGCTGGAAAAGACAATTAACACATCCGACTCTGCCATTTCTGAAGCTCAAGCCACAATCGAGAAGTGCGCAGAAGAAATTCAGGAAGCTGCTGCCGAGATAGCTGCAACCGAACAGAGAATGGCAGAAGAGGAGTCGGAGCTCGCTAATATTAGGGATAGTCTCAAAGGTAAAACCCAAGCATTCTCTGACCAAATCGCGGCCAAGCAGAAGTCATTGGAACCCTGGAATGAAAAGATCAATCAAAAACAGTCTGCTATTGCTGTAGCGGAGAGTGAGCTTGCAATCTTAGACGAGAAGGCGAATGCCGGTGATGTAGCACTTCGGGAAATTCAATCAAAGGTGCAGGCCATAGAAGAAAGCAGGGAGGCTAAACTCGAAGAGCTCGAGCAATGCAGAGGGCAAAGAGCTAAGCTGGAAAAGGATGGTGCTCGATTACAAGCCGAACTCACGCAATTGTCTCAGAAGGAGCCGGAATTTCGCGCTAAACTTTCTGGGGCTCGCCAAAAAGCCGACGAAGCTCGTGCTAGTCTTTCAAACACTCAAACCCAAGGAAACGTCCTGACTGGTCTGATGAGACTTAAGGAATCTGGGCGAATTGACGGTTTCCATGGCCGACTGGGAAATCTAGGCACAATTGACCAACAATTCGACATTGCAATTTCTACTGCCTGTGGAGCCCTTGATAATTTTGTAACGGACACAGTCGAGGCTGGTCAGCAGTGTATCGAATATCTTCGAAAGACTAATCTCGGACGAGGTAACTTTATGTGTTTGGATAAGTTAGGAAATCGTGATCTCTCACCCATCCAAACACCAGAAAACGTTCCTCGTCTCTTTGATCTTATCAAGCCAAAAGATGACAAGTTTAGACCAGCATTCTTCCACTCATTACAAAATACACTTGTAGCTAAAGATTTAGCACAAGCGAATCGCATCGCTTACGGAGCTAAAAGATGGCGTGTCGTGACCTTGGATGGCCAACTGATTGACAAATCGGGTACTATGTCTGGTGGTGGAAACACGGTGAAGAAGGGATTAATGTCTTCAAAGCTGGTGGCCGAAGTCTCAAAAGAGCAAGTTTCAAAATTGGAAGTAAATAGAGATGAGCTTGAAAAAACTTTCCAGAAGTTTCAGGATCGCCAAAGAGACTTAGAGACGAGACTTAAAGATATAAATCATCAAATACCGCAACTCGATACGAAAATGCAAAAACTCGGTCTAGAGGTAGACAGTTCTGAGCGAAACCTAGCAGACGCACAGAGACGAATCAAAGAGTTGAGCAAGGAGCATCAGCCATCTCAGACAGATGATAGTCGAGTATCTGCACTGAAGAAGGACATCGCAAAGCTTCAAAAAGAAATCGAGAAACTTCATGCGGAGACAGCGAGTGTTGAGGACGAAATCAAAGCTCTCCAGGACAGAATTATGCAAGTTGGTGGTGAGAAGCTTCGTGCTCAGCGTGCTATGGTGGATTCTTTGAAAGAGGAGATCGATACCCTCAGCCAAGCCATGTCAACAGCAGAAGTGACCAAAACCAAGGCTGAAAAACAAATCCTTAAACACGAGAAAGATCATGCTAAGGCTACTAAGGAAATACAGGCTTCTATTGCGGATCTAGAAGCACTAGAGCAGGAGATTCAGAATCAAGGATCAAGCTCTGAAGGATCGCAAGCTCGAGTTGATGAAGCCCAAGAGACTTTGAGAGAGAAGAAAAAAGAGCTTAGTGCTCTCAAAGCTGACCTTGATGAGAAAACTACCGAACTCAATGAGACCCGTGCAGTTGAGATTGAAATGCGCAACAAGCTTGAAGAAAACCATAAAGTATTGACTGAAAATCAGAAGCGACTAAGATATTGGCAAGAAAAGTTGGGTAAGCTTACTCTGCAGAGTGTTAGTGACTTAGGCGAAGAAGTTGAGCAAGAGGAACTTCCTACTTTTACCAGAGACGAACTAGCCGATATGAGCAAGGAGGCATTGAAGGGAGAGATTGCAATTCTGGAAGAGAAAACTCAGAGTGTCAATGTCGAGCTAGGTGTTCTTGCAGAATATCGTCGAAGAGTTGAAGAACATGCTGCAAGGAACCAAGACTTACAAAGTGCTGTAACTCAAAGAGACACAGCCAAGAAACGCTGCGATGATTTGCGACGCCTTCGTCTTGAAGGCTTCATGGAAGGTTTTAGTACAATCTCCCTTAGACTTAAAGAGATGTACCAAATGATCACCATGGGAGGGAATGCCGAGCTGGAACTAGTGGACTCGCTGGATCCATTCTCGGAGGGAATTTTGTTCAGTGTGATGCCACCAAAGAAATCCTGGAAAAACATCTCCAATTTGAGTGGTGGTGAAAAGACATTGAGTAGTTTGGCACTGGTGTTTGCTTTGCATCACTATAAACCCACACCTTTATATGTAATGGACGAGATTGACGCTGCTCTTGATTTTAGAAATGTAAGTGCAATCCCACTGCCTTATCGAGTATACGTTACTGACATATCTAGGTTTCCATTGTAGCGTCTTACATCAAGGAACGAACAAAAAATGCACAATTCATCGTTATCTCGCTGCGAAACAACATGTTTGAACTCGCGAGTAGGCTGGTCGGAGTATACAAGGTCAATCACATGACGAAGAGCGTGACGATAGAAAATAAGGATTACATCACAGGTCGAGCATGATGAGATGCAATATCGTCGTGTGTTGTTGTTTTTGTGCGGGCGTTGGATAACCATATGGGATGTATCGGATGTATTATGACTATTAATGAGATCATGAAAATTATCTTCTTCTAAATAATAAGCCTGTAATGCAATATGCTGGCCATCATCTGCCTACCTACGTATGTTGTAGCTACCAAATCCCGAAATCTCTTGTGCCAACAATTTCGGATGAGATGGCCTGTGTAGGGGCAAGCCCAAAAGTCTGACCGCACCGAGTTGATGTTAAGCTCAGTGCCCCGCCTCGAGCCCGCGGGTTTCTCCAGTACAATTATACTTTTTGCTAAGACCAATCTGGGTATGATTAACATATCAGGTTGACAACAGTTATATGTTAAGCTGGATGTGGAAAATGGGGTCCGGGGAGATAAGCCTTTAACTTCAAGGGTCCTTGAGTTATTACAAATAGTGCTCTGCAATGTCGTTTGAAAGTACCTCATTATTCTCCAAGTTTCATTCATTCATTCATTCATATACAGAAGTACTGATTTTATCTCTACTTCGCCTTAGTGTCAATATGGGAGATATATCGAAGAAGCCAGAGTTTGTTTTCGTGCCTGGAGCATGGCATAGCCCAGAATCCGTAAGATCTCCTGTTTTCAGACCAGTCCAATGATCTGCGTGTTGGTATGCAAAATTGCAGCTGTTGCAGCTGCTCTGTCGATAATTTGAAGGAGCTCTTCCGCATTATGCAACCCTATTTGGCGTTTCCGTCTGACATTTTCTGCCACAAAAGTTTAAACCCACCACAGATATCCTTGCAGCGAAGGGTTATAAAGTTCACGGCATTTCCCTAAAATCTGTGGGTGCATCTCCTCATCTCGAAAATTCTCAGCCAGATGTCGAAACAATCAGGTAATTCCTCTTCGTGTACTCCCATCCCTTATAACTTTCTCTCAATTTCCAACGTACCATAATAACCCACCTCAGGAACAAAATCGACTCTCTCCTCTCCACGTCCACTCCCCTGATTCTTGTTTACCACTCTTACGGCGGAGTAGTCGGCTCGTCGGCCTTAGACACCTACATCGCCACCCTCTCCCCCTCAACCACCCCCTTCTCTCCTACTGGCCTGATCCGCCGTTTGGTTTACATCGCGGCCTTCTGCCTTCCCAAATCCGTGTCTTTAATGGGTGCTCTGAATCATAGTCCCCTTCCCTGGTTTTCCATTTCCCCAGATTCCAGAGCTGTCACTTGTTCAGATCCTTATGAAATCTTCTATAACGATATCTCCAGAAATGAAGCACAAAAATATGTGGAGGTGCTGAAGGAACACAGCTACAAGACTTTTGATTCGCCGGTGACTACGGAGCCGTGGAGATACATCCCGAGTACGTATGTTGTTTGTGAAGAAGATAAGGCGATTCCTTTGGAAGCGCAGTTGGGGATGATTAGGGGAGCACAGGAGATTGCTGAGGGGAGTAAGTTTCGCTTATTTCTTTTTTATTGCTTCCTCTTGGGCCACTTTGTTACTTTGTGGTGATAATGATAACCATGAACCTTCATATCATGAAAAGAAGGGCATGCAGTAGAGCTCCAGACAGCAGAGTCAAAATATTTTCCCAGGGTCACACTCCTCTAACTATGTATCATCTTCCTGTCCTATTCTCCTCATCATTCCTGTTTCTCCCTGCGCAACCTCTTACATACTCAAATATCATTATATTCTTCGATCATTCAATTCCCCTAGCACTCCCAAAAAACTAATCACAGATCTACGTCAGGCTTCGGCACGATCGAACGTACAAACGTCGGCCATAGCTCATTTATAAGCCAACCGGAATGGCTGGCTGAAAAATTAATAAAAGCCGCTGAAAATCCTATTTGATATAACGTATGTGGGATTTTAAGCAGGTAATTAGATGGCATTTTGGAAACATAGCTATAAGAGGTGAAGAAGGTCAGTGCCGAAGATAGCTCGGCGGTTTGATGTGGACTCAAATTTCAGAGAGTTATTTTGGAAATCGGGGTTTGTGAAATGGACTTGAGACTTGGTGTTTTCGTTAGACGATATATTATGAACATGAGAGATGTTGATTGCATGTTTTTCTACAGTGCACTGTATTATACCAGTACACCAGTTCAATAACATAAGAATAAGTAGATAGTGATCGTTCTCTATGCAAGCGAAATCAATGGCCGAAACAAGCACCTTTGAATAGTCTTTACAGCTCAATATATCATTTAAGGCTTAGATGTGAACGAGACCTATTCAATTATAAACTTTGGAATAAATAGAAGCTAAATTCTTATTGTATCTTTTCAGAATGATGTGACTTGTTTTGTTGTTTTGTGTTTGACTTGTGACTTCAATTAATAAATGAGATTTAAATATTCAACCCTGGCCGCTGAAACGAAGGGTATTAAAGGTTGGTATAAATATAGAGAAATCTAAGATTACACGATACCATACTGTTGACTGTACCAACAGTTATTCTTCATTTATTGAGAAATATAACAACAAAAAAATATCAAATCTAACCATTCATAGGTGAATTAGATGCTGATTTCCCGTCCTCCCGTCCAAGATTGAACAGATGTTAACCGAGGGGGCATTCATATCTGCTCCTATAGATTGACGGCTCGCTCTAAAAGAAAGCATACCTAGGTAGGTACTCACCTACTTATTAGATTTGGATCATGATGTCTTAATTGTCTTGAGTTACAATCAACTTTTGTATTTCAGTATGGTTATCCTATAATCATCCGTTACTTATTTGTCTTGCCTGCTGCGGCAGAGTTTCGGTGAAGCGTTTGTTGCTGGGGCAACGTGATGTTTGCGTTTTTGCGGGTAGAGCTTCAACATCAACCAAAACTTTGACATGGTTTTAAGGTTTCGAAATACATCAACTCAACCAACGCTCGCTTGAATTGGTATAGAACACTCCTTGAGGGAGCGGGCAAAGGTCTTAATTCTGTTAATACAGTTCTTTGCTTGTCTGATACTATCTTGCATAATCGTTAATTCCATTCTTTCTTCTTTCCTGTTTGTTGATATATATTCTTTACTTGGATATCCTTCGATTGTGATCATGTCTGTACGAGGTTAGTATTTTCTGCAGAAATCAATCGAGTCTCATTCTAAGCTGACCTTCTGAACAAGTCGTTGCAAGGATACGTCCTCTTCTACCAAAGGAATTGGATAAAGATACCATCGTGCGCGCCGAAAGTAGTCAAGACAGCAAAACACCCAATGTCGTCCGGATACCGAATCCTAAAAATGAGTCGGAGGAATTTAGTTTCACATTCAACGGGGTCTACGATATGGGAACAACCCAAGAGGAACTTTTCACGAACGAGGTTGCGCCCACACTGAAATCATTGTTCCAAGGACTCGATGTTACACTCTTTGCATATGGAGTTACTGGAACGGGGAAAACACATACAATGCGTGGTGGAACAAAGTTGGCAGACCGCGGGATTATTCCTCGATTATTGAGCGGAATTTATCGACGTGGACGTAAGGTTGCGAAGGATTCTGGAGAGAACACCTCTGTTACTGTTACATTGTCCTACTACGAAATATATAACGATAAAGTCTTCGACCTATTCGAGTCTCCAGATAAGCGATCTCTTGCTGGCTTGCCACTTCGAGAGAAGGATGGGAAAACAATAGTCGTTGGGCTCTCGGAAAGGTCTTGCAATGATCTCAAGGATTTCGAAAAGTTATATATAGAAGCCAACAACAACCGGAGCACAGCAGGGACCAAACTCAATGCGCAAAGTAGTCGAAGCCATGCCATCTTGATGGTCAAGGTAACACAGACTACTGGCGATGCGACCTTGATCAGTACTGCATCAGCAATTGATCTAGCAGGATCAGAGGACAACCGGAGAACAGATAATGGCAAGGAGAGAATGATTGAATCTGCAAGCATCAACAAAAGTTTGTTCGTGCTCAGTCAATGTATTGATGCTATTGGTAGAGGCGACAAGAGAATTCCATATCGAGAATCTAAAATGACACGAATTCTCAGTCTGGGTCAGAACAATGGTATCACTATAATGGTTTTGAACCTTGCACCATTGCGTTCTTACCATTTGGATACTTTGTCTTCCTTGAACGTAAGTTCAAGAGCAAAGAGAATAGAGGTCAGGGAAATTGAGAATGAAGTTGTATTCACGCAGCCACCCAGGAAACCGGCCGGAGCTAGTATGCAACGACAGCCGTTGAGACCCATCACGAATTCGCATAACACTGTGGTCAACCCAGCACAAAAGGCTGACAAGCCTGCAAAAGCTTTCTCTGTATATACAGATAAAAGCAAGGCAACTACAGCCCGGCCGTCGAGCAGCACTCCAGCACTCCGAAGATCGAATTCGAATAAAAAGGGGCCATCAGATGGAGTCATCGGCTCACGGGTTACCAAACTCGCCAGACCTGTGCCATCAGGGTTCAAATCATCCACAGCTGATATCTCAGCCGCGAAGATTGAGGAAATGGTTGAGCGCAAAGTCTCGGAAATTCTTGCAAACCGCGCCTTAGAACAGTCATCGAAAACCGCACCCACTGAGATTAGTGAAGCAGTTCAGAAAAGACTCGAGGCACTGGAGAAGAAGATTGATGAGAACTCGGCGGAAGATGCGAGATCTGAAGGTCTGAGGTTTCTGCTTATGGCGAGACAACACAAAGAGCGTGGTGAAGAGACCAGCGCTCTTAAGATGTATGAGTAGGTTTGCCCAGCTAATCTATCTCTTCTAAGTAACATTGACTAACTCTTATCAGGATGGCACTTCCTTTCTTCCCAGGCCAAGAGAAACTGCTCAAGAAGATTGAGCATCTCAAAAGCAAAATTCAAGCAAAGAATACTGGTGTAACCAAGCATCCAGTGCCGGTAGATTCAGAAATGCGAAAGCCTACTGCTCCATTTATACAGCTGCGAACACCCGCCAATTCATTTCAGCAAGAGGGTGAGGAAGTACGACCCGTATCAAGGAAGAGTTCAGAACCTGATGCCGAGTACGATGCATCCTTTGTAAATCAGGAGGAGAATTATGAGGACGATGATAGCTTTTCACACAGAGCCGCTAAGTCAAAAAAGACAAAGTCCAAAACGACAACCAAATTGCGTGTCTTCAACGACGAAGCTTCTCTTAGCCTGCTGGATCCCCCCACACCTCGAACAAGACATCTGTTGGATATTGTCAACTCTAGAGATGTAGGAATGATCAGAGGTCTTTGCGGAGTAGGTCCCAAGAAGGCTAGAGATGTGGTCGAGTTTCTAGAGCTACAGAATGAGGATGATGGCGGTCAGATCAAAACTCTACAGCAGCTCAGAGCTGTCCCTGGACTAGGAAGCAAAACCGTAGAACGGGCGTATGAGGGGATTGCGTTGCTGGTTTGAACTATTCGAGTCAATTTGCATTTTAAGATTGGGATTGTCCTTGCATAAACGGCCCTTTTGGAGCGGCGTTGGTGGGAGTTTTTGTGGATAGGTCGTGAGAATTAGCGGGCATCTTTGGAACGGAGTACTGTTTATTGGATATTTTATGATAAGGATTATTAAACATGACTTTATTTTCTGCGGTCTGTCCTCGCCAATCGATCATATCAATTATATAAATGTCAAGTGCCATGTTAACTGCCGAACATTTCGTGGATACTCTCCGCGGAGATTTGATATAAAACCTTTTATCAAAATAACGCCGAAGTTGACTCCTCTCAATCCAGTGATCATGATTAGGATAAAACAGAAATTTTGATAAGTATTTCCCATTCTCGTGATATTCAGGAGAGAATGAGGAACAGAAAACCCATTCCGCATCAATTATTCACGTGATTACCTCCACAGACCTACTGTCGTCTACAACGCCACTGAGTGCCGACAAGGCGCATACATAGAAAGGATCTGCTTGCACAAGTAGTGTATCTCGCAACCGAGAATTTGAGCCACACTTTCATACGAAGAAGTGCAGATCAAAAAAAAAATGAATTTGTACTATGGCGCCGGCATATATAGCCGAAGAAGACAAGCGTCTTTGAAGTTTGCATGGAACAGCCATATGTGGCTCATCACAAACTAGCTGATAGTAGGTAGCTGGAGGTACCTGGAACCAGTGGAACCGAACTGTGGCTTGAGAATAATGCTTGGGATATCCATACTCCGTGGAGAGGAAAGAGTTCGGTAGTGATCAACATGGTTGATCTCGGATAAGTACAATAGGGGTCATGATCGGCATGCTGAATTTTGATTTCGAATTTTATCGCGCAACAAATCGGCGTCAAGTTTGTTATTTTATTATTTTCTAATATTCATTTATTAAATTTATCTCAAATGTCAAAAGGAAACTCTAAATTTGAGCCACAGTTCGCTTTTACAAGACCCGAGCAAACAAACATCCCCGCCTTATGCATGTTCTATCACATCGCACGGCGATCTCACATGTCAAAAGTACAAGTCTAGGGCCGTGTAAAAATGGCAATGGTGAGGGGTACCAAGATCGTGGCACCAGCTCAGCTGAGGCTTATCGGCTCAATATCCGTACGAGGCGGTATTGCACATTCTTCACTGATCGTCGGAGCCGATGAAAATGTGCCACATCTAGATTCTAGACCGGTTACCTAGGTATCGTCATCAGTATTTTATCCATGAAAGTAAGGCTTGTACCACCTTCACAGCCACAATTTATACGTGGACACAGTGCTGTTTTTGAAGGAGGATGGGTGGCGAATTGGGAGAAATTTTCCCATGGCGGCCTAATCAGGCTGCTATGGGTTTTCTGGGGTACATGCAGGCTAACTATACATGGGGACCAAACCGATCTGCAGGATACATATACATTTACATATACGTACTAGGTAGCGTACATGGTGCTATAGTATGGATGAGCTGCATATTGAGGCTACCTTGTTATCCAATCACATATCTGAGGCTTGTGTCTGCGGCTTGTGTCTGAGGCTTGCGTGGGATGGCTTTACGTCCTCTCTTTTTGCGTCTCGTGTTTCTTGTTCTGAACCTTAAATTGTATACACACTAATCGAAGAATATCGACTAGGTAGGTGATTATCGAATTCCTCAAAGTAGGCTTACACGAGTTGATCGAACGCACACTAGCTATCCGGATTCCTTAGCTCACATTATCAACAACACAAATAGTAAATTGAAATTCTGCGAAGCCAAAGTACCCAGCT